TCAAATTCTCTGAACCATATATTTTTGCGGATGATCTTAAACTACTTTCCATCAAAAAAACATCAATTGAAATTCAAGAAGATCTGGACAAAATTCAGCAGTGGGTAACTGAAAACAAAATGGAATTAGCACTAGATAAATGTGCAAAAGTAAGTTTTAGGGGCGGAGACGCCAACTCTATGCTTTTTGGTGTAGTGCTTGGAACATCGAAGGTTGTGAAAGATCTGGGAATTTTTGTGTCGGGCGATTTAAGTTGGAAGGTACACTTTGAAACAAGATTAAAGAAGGCAAACCAAGTACTGTACCTCCTGAGAAGAAACCTATCAGCAAAGATAAATACGTTTGTAAAGTTAGGCCTGTATAAGTCACTAATACTCCCAGTGTTATTATACGGACTCTCATGTACACATATATCGAGGGGGGATCAATTGCAGTTGGAGCGATTTCAAAAGAAAGCAATCCGGTGGATCACTGGAAATAAAACGGGAGTGTACATCAACGAACTACGCTTGCTAAACATTTTACCCCTGCCCATGTTCATCCAGCTAAATAACATCTTACTTCTTGCCAGTCTTGATTCTAATGAACGAAATGAAATAGTGTTAAACAGGCGAACCACACGGGCTAGAAATATAGAAATTTTTGAGATGCGAAAAGTGAGAACGGAAAAAGCGAGAAACGAATTTGTTTTCAGAACCAGTAGGATTGTAAATCGATTAGAACCATATATTCATTTTGATAAACGAATCGGCCTCAAGACGAGAATTTTAAACACGATGTGGAAATTTGTAAACGAGAGATTTTCAGAAATGACAACGTGCACGTGGCAATTATTCTGTGATTGTATCACGTGCAGAAACAAGTGGACATTGTTTTAGAGAAGACGCCGGGACCAAGACTCCCAACAGCAGTGCTGTGAATCCCCAACAACAACAACAACAAATAATCATTGCGTTTTTCTTCAAGACAAACGGCAGAATGTTTGCACGAACGTCTAGCTTAAGTATTCCGCTTGAGCAAATATTTGGTGTGTCAACTCACTGGTCGTAAATTGTTGCTTAGATTCGTGAACGAAACTCTTTGATGATGCGAACAAGAACTCCCGTCCAATTGAGCACGCTTTGAAACCTACCTACCGTTGCTAGTAATCTATCGAGTTTCTGATGGCGTTTTAAGGCGTTAGGGTTGAGACTGTCCTCGAACACGTTGGGGTTGAGACTGTCCTCGAACACGTTGGGGTTGAGACTGTCCTCGAACACGTTGGGGTTGAGACTGTCCTGGGTTGAGACTGTCGAACACGTAAAGCGTTGGAGTTGAGACTGTCCTGGGGTTGAGACTGTCCTCAATGATAACGTACATGTGGCTACTGAAAACTTTTGACAAAGGACTTCTTGACCAGGCCGGACTTTCATATTCAATTAGCTGAAACTGTTTACGAAGTTATTTAATAATATGTTTATAGTCTTATCAACTAGTTTTGTCAAGGGACCAAACTAGTACCAAAAAAACTTTTTTTTTCACGATTTTCGCTAATAACACTTTTATTCCGGAGAAAAAAGTAACGCAACTAGAGAAATTAAATTTTTGTTCAATGGAGCAAATAGAAAAATTTAACAATTAATAGCCGGTATGGCCTCCACTTTTTGCGATGCATTAATTAAGTTTTTCATCACTTCGGAGTTGAAGGTACTCTCCATGCCGCAATAATTCGTTGAGCCAAAGATAACAAGTTTTGAGGATTTTATCGCCGATTTTTTCCTTTCATTCATTCATTCATTAGGCCAAGTTGGTCGGGTTGGGCTCTTACGTCTCCAGGCTAAGAAACTTGCAACGGCCTAGGTCACAGATCTGCGGGAGTGAGTGGGGAGGGATTCTTGGGGCAGTTAAAAATGTGGCAACTAGTGTGGGGTGCTAGGTGACATTCGGGCATAGTGGGGAAACTTGGTTGTCTAGTCGGGAGAGGTATCCGTTTAAAAGCCGGCTGTTACCAGACCTGAGTTGGGAGAGTTTACAGCGGGTAGTTCTGGGGAGAAATTATTCTTTGGGGTCGACCTTAGGAGGCGGTATACAAATTACGTTCTTAGGAGGCGGTATACAAATTACGTTAGAGGGAGAAATTTTTGCGAGGAGTTTGTTTACTAGATCTCTGTGGTTGTGATTTAAAAGGGACTTGTGGTGGTTAAAAACTTCTTCTGGGTTAAGATCGGTCAAAATGGAGTCAGTATCTTCTTCAAAAGCGCTTAAAGTCGATAGTCGAACTTGACGTGAAGGTGTGGGGTGTGAGTGGTAAAAATTATTTGGGTGATGGGAGCAGTATGGCGAAAAAATTGAGAGGTTAAAAGAGTGTGGTGGTTTGGAACATTGAGGATCTCGACTTCACTGTGCAGGTGGGCAGTTGAACTCATGAGTGTTGAGCCGGTAATAACTCTGAGGGCTTGATTTTGGGTAACCTGCAGGTGATAAATGGAGGTTTTGCTGGCGGCATGTGACCAGGCAGGGGAGGCATAATCTAAAATGGGGCGTATTAGGGCTTTGTAGGTAAAGGGTTTCTTTATACTGTCACCAAGAGGATGCTGCCAACGCTTTCAGGACAATGATCCTGCGGTGAGCCTTGTCAGCGGATCTTTTACTGTGTGCAGCAAAGCATAAGGTTCGGTAAAATGTAACCCCTAAAATTTTTGGGTTTTTGTTAAGAGGGAGAGACACGTTGTTTAAAGTTACACTGGGTGTTGTGTTAAAACCTTTATTGTACGATGAAAAAGGGTAACTGATCCATCAGAGGTTACAAAAGATAACTTCCTGGAAGTGAAAAAATTGAAAAGATGATGAAGGTAATCGTTCAATGGTCGAGATGCTGCCTCTACATCAGGGCTTTGGGAGAAGGGATGGAAATCGTCAGCGTAAGATGTGAAACGAACATTATTGGGCGGTGTGGGAGCGTCATCGACGTAAAATTTAAAAAAAGTGGGTGAATGAACAGAGCTCTGGGGAACTCCACAGCGAACTAATTTGTTGGGGGATTCTTGGTTGTTAAAAAGTGCGGTGGCTTGTCGGCCATTCAAGTAGTTACTCAGCCAAGGATTAATACCTCTCGGGAGCGGTGTGTCATAAATTAGTTTCACGAGAGTACGATGACACACCATATCAAAAGCCTTCGAGAGGTCAAGCGTTGCGAGAACGGTGCGGGAGAGTGAGAGATTTTGATTAAAACCGTCTGTGGAAAGCGCAGTAATGGTAGTGGAAAGGACGAAAACCATGTTGATGTGTGGCGGCAGGGAGATGCTTTGTTAAAAAGGGTGATAGATTCTTTCTAATACTTTAACAGTGGGGCAAAGTAAAGAAATGGGCCTTTAAGAAGTGGATAATTCATGGTCTTTCGGGTTTGGGGTAGGGGGGTTATCTTTCGAGAGCTGGGGTTAGTAGGGGTTAGAAAATGGGGTTATCTAACATGGTGAGCTTGGCTATTTTGCGTCTAGTTTTCCGGAATAGCTTATCTGACGCATAAATCCTGGCATTTTTAAACTGTTTATTAAAAGCGTTCTCTGTCTGTGTCTGAAGAGATTGTTTTTGATTCGAATTGAATCGGATGCCTTCCTAGCACAGCCCTGGATCCGTTTAGGGAGCGTACCACTTTCCAGAGCTTTCTGGCACCAGTGCGGTAATCACAGGTCTGGAAGAATTTTCGCCATTGGTTTCTCTTGTCTTTCGCTGTCTGATTGAGGAGTTAGGAGTTCTATAACATCCCACGCATATTCAATTGGGTTTAGTGCAAGTTCAGGGCTACAAGGGGGCCATGTCAACACCGGAACAGCATTTGCCGCTACATCCCACAATGTAAACCGGGCTCAGTTGCATGGGGCATTATCTTGCTGAAATGCCGTAACTCTTGGCGTGTCATGCAAAAAAAAAGATAGTAGTTCTGCCCTCAAAACCTAACAGCAATAAGCTCCTAAATTCAGTATACCATTTATCAAAACAGGGTGTGCTCGGTAGCTTGCTGAGATTCTACACCATATCAGTAAACTTTTGTTGGCACTTCCATCGAATTGTCAATTGTTTTCGTTCACAGTTCGGCAATTTTTCCGTCTGTCCTTGAGACAACGCCTGTCGTCTTGCGATTTGAGTTCAGAGAGAAAGGACACTCGTCACCGAAAAACAGTTTTTTTTTCAATCACGGTATCTCCGATTTGCACATGACAATGCCCAAACAAGACGTCTTTGTTGATGTCTCTGCTGAAGAATCGGGCCCCAAAACGGTCGTCTACATCGAAAACCCACCCGGAGAAAATTTTTCTTATAGAAGGAGCTGTAACTCAAAATCGCCGTGCCGCTGTAGCAGTTTTCGGAAGAAAACCGGCACTGGGTTGTCTAATATTTCTCCCAACCGATCTCATGTTCAATGACCTCGGTCGCCCTGTCCCGTAGCTAGGTATCTCTGTGAAGTTTTTGAAATAGTTGAAGTAGAACATTGAAAAAACTGAAATTTCTCTCATTGAAAGGCCCAAGGTAGCATATCATTTGCTTGGTTGTGATTTGAGTTGGAAATTCGTGGAATTTTTGCAACTGCTCAATTAAAAATTTGTTTGAAAGTGTCAAAATTTTATGCGCTGTGTGAAAAGATTTCATTGCGTTCGAAAAACTAACTTCAGATAATTTTAACGTTAAATAAAAGTGTTTCGTTGCTTTACTTTTTTCCCCAGTATCAACCGGGTTTGACGTTGTTGAAGGCGCTGTGAAAATTATCAGTGGGTTAGAGAATGACTGGATCGTGCCTACTCATGAAATGCTTTGAAATTTCTCGAAAAATATGAAATATAGCGTTTATATAGTTTTTTACTCTAAGTTTTTCTACACCTGAATGCTGGCTTAAATTTTTGTATTTCAATTGGTGCGAAGTTGTTTTCCACCTCTATTATTATGATTTAACTGAAACAGACTACACTTTGCACTACTTTTAAAAAGGCATGATTTTGCAGCTTCCATCAGCTTACATTTATTTGCTTCCATTTTATTTCTTTGAAACTACCTGATCACCCGAGGTTCTGAGATAATATGTAAGAGCTGCCGCAGTTGTTTCTTAAGTTTTAACAATCGTTGGCTTCAATATATTTGGCTAAATTTGAAACTTCAATTGAAATATGAAGAGCTGATGTACATGAGACTAATCAGCCCTTCAGCATAACTGTAAATCCACAACAACAACAACATAATGGTCTTCTAATTACTTCGCGACTTGTGGTAAAATGCAGTAGTTTCTTGTAATTAGTTCAGTAATTTTTTCAATTCGTATTGTAAGAGTTTTATGGCTATGTTTAATTTTTAGGCTTGCTATAGAATTGATGGGGCAAAACTCGAAAATCCTCGTGACGTTACTTTGTCACCCCGAAAATCGGAGAAATCGTTTGCAGAGAAAGATGTAATTGAATTACAAGCTGAGTTCTGTGATTCTTTAACCTCGTTGGTCAACAACAGTCCAGCTAATGCAATTGTTTCTCGTCTGGATTTGAGTGGCATTGAAAACTCAATCGGGAATTCATCGGAAGCACCTTCAACAGCGATATCGCAGCCCCCACTATTTGTTGAAAAAGCTGCAGCAGACTCTGTTCCAGTAGGTTGTACATCCAGATTTTGTGTACAGTCCGATAGATGCGCAATTTTGTGTTCCTCTGTTAGAATCAGTGATGTCAAAAATAAAGGATACAATAGCGATAACGAGGCATCTGGTTCGTCAGCAGACATTCGAAAGCAACGTGGAATGGGCGATCGATTCCACAGCATGGATTTAGTTACCAGGAAATCCGAAAGCAATTTATTCGACGCTGTCCTCTTTCACAGTAGAAAAAGTGAAACGTTGATTCACAGTAGAAGAAACGAGTGGAGTGAAAAGGAAAACTCCAGCATTGATAAAATCAGAAGGTACAATGATACATTTTCACGTCCGACATCGCCCGCAGTTCCCAAAGTTCAAATAACCGCCGAAAACGACTTTCAAGACGATAGCCTATTAGAGACTGATACTAATGACGATAAAATGGATGACAATCTGCATACAATTCGCGGACCAAATGAGCGGTAAGGCTTTTTATGGTTCAGTTTGGGTTTTCACGCAAAATCAGGAATTGAAAGAACAGTTGTAGAGTGTTATGTGACATGCCCTTACACTCGTTATTGGGATTTCAAAGGAACTTAAACCTCTCAATCCTATGGAGGGGCACTGTCAGACACACTATGAAGTTGCAGTTGTGCCCTCTAACTTGACAGCTCGTGTTCTTGTGGTTGTCGAGATAGAGTGTTTTTTTCTAATGATTTTTCTCATTTGTTTTTTCAGTTAACTTAGATTTGAAAAGACAACCCTATGGTGCGGTGCTCGCAGTGTAGCTCAGAGTTTACTAATATGGCCAGCAATTATGACTTATATAAACCTTTTAATAGCCGGGATATTGCGTATTTATCTTTTTTCAGAAATGCTGTAATTCGAGAACGAATTTCGTAACCTGCTGTAATTGTCATAGAAATCATAGGTTTTTGAAATTTAATTAGCTGAACAGCTCGTTCTGTAACGCATTTCGAATAGTCAGTTAGAAATCTTTAATTTATGATGATTTTTTAGAGTGACCGATGATTCGGCACTGAGGAACAGTTGGACTGATAATAGCGACATGAGAGAAGGATTCTCGACACCTGCGACAATTCCCTACATGGACGACTGCCAATTGTACTTGAGGAGAAAAGCTGTGAAAGAATACAGAAAGTACCGATATCTGCACGACCTGGTTCTTTCGGGTCTGAACGAAATTATTGTCGAGTTGTCTTTTACATCAGGGATAAATCCTAGCAACGATATGAGATCCAGTGCCTCTAACTTAGAGATGAATAACAACAACACAAATGCCACTAGCTTACTCCAAAAAATAGTCGGTCTCTATGAACGGGTGCGCTTGTTCGAAAAAGACTTCGACTCTCTAAATAGTACAGAGAAATCTTGCGAGTCTGATTACTCACTAGACGGCTCCCCTTACAGACAGAATTGGACGTCAAACGCAAAAACAAAGCATCACAGTAGCAGTCGACTGTCTTTTAAAACACCGGCTACGAACTTCAGTGCCGACTTCTGTAGCGTGAATAAAGTTCAAGGTCAGCAATACTCAACTCCAATGAATGTAGAAAAAGTGCAGAGTCTAATTAGTCCTGCAACTGTGAATCGAATATCGAGAATTTCTGGAGATAGTACTCAGAATTTTCTAATGCTGAGTTTATCTGAGTCTAAGAGAGGTGGTAACGTAGCCTCTTCGTCTTCTCAGCAGGGGAGAAAGCGGCTAAAAGTGTCAATGAAACGATTGATTGGAGAAATGTGTTATCGAATCGACAGGTACGCTTGTATTCTATCTGAATTTCATATAGGAAAGTTAGTTAATCGCATCAAGAAAACAAAACAACAACAATCGATGTCTGAGAGGTAACTCATAGAAACCGAACAAAAACTCAACAAAAGATATCCATTTTCTGTGTTTGTTTCCTTTTTCTTCGGTTAATTTAAATAATCGTGTAATTTTGAATTACCAGGAGAAAACGGAAACCAACACAGAAAATGGATGTATTTTGCGGAGTTTTGTTTCGTGTGTATGATTTACTTCACTTAAATCGAACGTTCTTTTTGTTTCTTTTGCCTATGAGTTGCCACTTGCCTTTATGACAACGATGCGATCGAAAAGAACTCGAAGTAGGATGCTTTTATGAAACTCATCAGAATGACCTAGAGCTATAATAAACAAGCATTGGTGACTATGTTTGCAGAAGCTGAGCTGTTATAGATTGGTGCTCTCTTACGTGTTCCGAGTGAAGCTGTTCAGTTCTGGCCAGTCTACGAGCAGAAGTTGTGGAGACAGCATAGGATATGAAAACATTAACAGTTGTTCCCTTAAGTTGAATCAGAACAAGAGTCATTTTTACGGGCACTCCATGTACAATTTAGATGACATGATTGACATAGCAGTGGAATCCAATGATGAACAGCTGTTAGCTGAGCTAAGTGAGTATTCGATGTGCTATGATTGACGGATCCCCCCAAATAAAGCAGTCGGTAGTAACAAGATAGCAGATACTTTTCCTGTTTCTGATTGAGTTAACTAAATTTACCAAAAAAGTTCTCAACTGTCGCGCATTCACAATTTTCAACAGTCATGTTTGAATGGACGCGTACATTGTTATTAGCAGAATTCTCGTGCTCGTAGGGATGAGTTTGAAGGTCCGCGCTGCTATTTTGATCGCCTTAGGATTCTCAGTTTGTTTTTTTTTTCACGATAGTGAATTGAACTGCCTATATTTGTCAACAAAATTGAGGAAGCAAATGAATTAGATAGTCAATTTTTTCCAAGCGTTTATGGTGCATTTTGAACAAAAAATATTTAATATATTCTTTGTTTTTCTGTTTTACTTTTCTGTTCCGTGTGTTTGAGAACAATATCCATAGCGTCCTTCAGTTACGCTTTCTAGGTTGATCCTTCTTGTGTTTGTTTAGGGAGAAGAAAACAAAAAGTTATGACCTACCTCAAATTCGACTGTGGCTTCAACGATCAAACTCACCCCCTCCTCATCATGAAGTGCGTGAACCAGTTTGGCATTCTGGGATCGGAAGCATCTGTACTCATCTCCCCACAGTATTTAACTAACATTGTTAATACTTTTGACAAAACAATAGCTGAAAGCGGAGTGTTGCAAACAGTGTCTTTAGATGACGTCAGAATTTTTTGCAATTGTCTGAAGTTACTTGCAGCTGGCAAAGAAACTCTCCCGAATATTTGAATAGAATTGATGCGCCTTGCGCGTTGACCTCTTAGCTAGAGTAATTCGAGTACAGTTTCTAAATTTTAATGCTATAGAAATAGAATCTATGTTGCGACTTGAAGTCTGAATTTATATAATGTTTGATAGAATTATTGAATTTTTGTTGGTTTGTCTTTTGAAGCCCTCACTTGCCTTGCCTTGGACTGGTTCCATATTTTGAGATATTTTTTGTGCTATGTAAATTAACTGACTTGATTTTTGATGCTAATGTTGAATATTAATTTATTTGTCTAAATCAAATCCTTTTTTATTTGCGGCGTTTCGAAATCCATTCAAACTTTTTTTCGTGGGAATAGGATGTAACTTATCGTCGATATAGTTACTTGTTAGCTTTTGCTTGAAAAACAGGGCTTTGTGCACCTAACTCAATAAATAACGCGAATAATATTCTTGGCTTCTAATTCTGATTGGATGATTCGCTTCACGCTGAATGGTGTTTTTTGCAAAAGATAGGATTACTAAAAAATGTAAATGACCAAATAAGCTTACAAATAAACTGATTTGCTACCTAATTACAAAAACGAAAAAACGTTAAATCATATAAGTGTAGTGAAGTGACAACGATAGCGTTAAGCGACAATTTTTGGTGGCATTCAGGATGAGCGAAAAACGCGGAATCAAATGCACTATCTCACGCGTTTCGATTACATGGCTGTTTCGGTTTAGTCAGCATTTTTGCGCAATATCTGATGCGTGTCGATTATTAGCCTGAGTTCGGTTTAGTCAACAATGTCGCGCACAATCTCCAACTGTTGAATATAAGCTTCAGCTCGGTATAGTCAACAACAGATTGAGTTCATCAACAAAGTTTCAATCATAAATTCGTCTTGAGCGAATTACTGGATGTTTTAGCTTGAATAAAAGGGTACTGTGCACCTTAAGTGAAAATAACCCTCATAAGATTTTTGGCTTCTTAGTCTGATTGGAAGATTGATTCACGCTGATGTTTTTTTTTGCCTGATAAGATTACTAAAAACTGTATATGACCAAATCGAGCTTATGAATACTCTGATTGGCTAAACAATGAGAACGACGAAAAAGTGGCAAATTATGTTAGTATAGTGAAATGACAAAGATAGCGTTCGCGAAAAGTTTTGGTGGTAATTGATAACCAAAAAACGCGGAAGCAGGCGCACTACCTCACGCTCGATTATAAGCCTGATTTGGGTTCACTCTCTATCTATTATATCTTCAAATTCGGGCTTCACTATCTCACCACGTTTAAGTTTTTTCAACGTAATATTTTTGCATGTTTAACGAAAGAATTTTTTCACGTTTAAGCTTTATCGTATATTGCAATGACTAAGATTTTTTTTTCGATTTTCCAGTTTGAATTCAGTGGTTATTCATCCGAGTTTAAAATAAGCAGCCCAAAATTGGGATGCTGTCAGGTTTCCCCAAAGGGTTGCGAATTGGGCCTCCAATTTAGAATGCTCAAATATTTTTAGTGTACGAGACACGAAGATTTTTGTGATTTTTTTTCAAAAATTTTAAAACTTAAATTATAAAATAATTTAAAAAAAAACTTGAAATTCCCAACCCTGTAGTTGGGTGCTTTGAGGGTACTCTCAGGTGTTGCGAATCTTCCCTCTAAATATGACTGCTCAAATCCTTGTAGTTTTTGAGATAAGACGTTTTTTATAGTTTTTTTCAAAAACTTTCAATAAAACAAACGAAATTTTTTTCTTCAAAATTTGAAATTCCAAACCCTGTAGTTGGCTGGGTATCAGAGTTCTCTCAGGAGTTGTGAATCTTGCCTCCTTTCATGAACGCTCAAATCTTTGTAGTTTTACAGATTGGCGTTTTTTGTGATTTTTTCAAAGTTTTTCAGAAAACTCAACTTTGATATTTTTTTAAAATTTGAAAATCCCAAACCTGTAGTTGGGTGCTGTCAAAGTACTCTCAAGAATTGCATTTGTTGACGGCAAAAGTGACGGCTCAAATCCCTGTAGATTTCGAGATATGACGTTTATTCTGATTTTTTCAAAAAATTTTCAAAAAAAAGTAATTTTTTCTTCAAATTTTTAATTCCTTACCCTGTAGTTGGCTGCTGTCAGGGTACTCCCCGGAGTTGTAGATCTTGCCTCCAAATATGTCTACTCAAATACTTGTACTTTTCGAGATTTGACGTTTTCGAATGTGACGGAAAATAGAGGAACTAAATTTTTTTTTAAATAAAATATGAAATTACCAACCCTGTAATTGGGTGCTGTCTGAGTACACTAAAAGCCCGCAGATCTGGTTTCCAATATATGCGGTTTTTCATGAGCTGTCAAAAATTTGAAGAACCGGAGGTGCGTTAAACGCTAGTATGCCTGATTTTGGTTCAGTCATTAATGTCGCGCACTATCTCACGCGTGTCGATTACAAACCTGAGTTCGGTTTGGTCAACGTCGCGCTCAACCTCATGTGTGTCGAATATAAGCCTCAGTTTGGCATAGTCAACAACATAATGAGTTAATTTTTATTGCACAAGGAAAGCTTGTGTTATAGTGTGAACTATCTTTTTTCAACCGTCGAAAATATTGTTGAGCCGCAAATATTGTTGCGACAAGATGTGTTCCTTTTGAAAGTGTTCATTTTCATCAATAACCAGCTATTAAGTACAGCCAATGCTAAGGACTGGTACTGCTAATGGGTCATAATTGGCTTGTCTCACTTAGCAATTATGTCGACTCATAATTAGCGTGCGACACTGAAGAAATTTTGTAGACTCAAAATTTTGCTCATTCATTTTTCCCCCACTAGCGTGATCGGTCTATTTTTGCCTGTGTATGCGAAGTGCAACTTCGCCTCTGTGTCAACATTAAATTCTTCTTGACCTAGTTAATTGATAGTTTTCGCTTGAAAAATAGGGTTCTGTACACCTAACCCGAAAAATAACCCTAATAAGATGTTTGACTTTAAATCTGATTGGAAGATTCGATTCACGATGATGGTGCTTTTTTTGCTACAGGTAAGGTTACTAAGAACTGCAAATGGCCAAATCGAGCTTATGAATACACTGAATTTCTAACTATCGGTGATTGAGTTCATGTAATACAGAATTTCGGAAGTAGAATGAAGACTTTTTTTCCATCTAAACGTTTTGTCTAACTCAATCAGTGATAACAATGCCCTCGTTCATTAATAAGCTGATATGCTCAATTTCTTGTAAATCAAATCAAACCATTGCTTGTTGTTATAGCTTACTCTTGATAATGCAGTGCTCTTTCGAACTTGTATCCGATTTGTCTTTTTGCTTAAACCTTCAAAAATAACAGAAAGTCGCTTTGGTTTGTTCGTGTCTTTTATAAATTACCATCTTCTAATTGGCTTAGGTTACTTGTTTATATCGTTTTTGCGGAAAAGGTATGTTTCGATCAGGAAAATTCGTGTTATGTAATATCGGCTTACTCGCCTCGTAATGTGTCAACTGAAGAAGAGTGACAAAAAAAATCATATGAGTATGCGTGCTTACAGAGGGACATAAATACTTGAGTTTTAAACGTTTTGAACGCTGAACGTAGTGAAAACTCTTATATAGGCCATGGTTAATTTTCTCTTCGTTTTTTTTCAGGAACAAGTTTAAAAATGCTCTAATAACTATAAATGTGTAATCATAAATATTTATGCATTTATTAATGCGCTTTGCTTTATATGCACATTTTGAATTCAATTCAAAATTATTTGCTAAAAGTTTGGTAAATCGCGCTCTCCAAATACGAACGTGGAATAGCACAATAAAGCGTGAACGGTCTCTTGTTTTGAAAGTGGATTGATCCAGTTCGCAGTTGTCTCAAATTGAGTTAATAGATTCGTCTTGAAATTCTATGTATTTACTTCAGCCAGTTTTTTTCCTTGAAACTTGAAAGTTGAAACTTTTTGAACTTCAATCCAATAAAATTGTAAGTTTTTTGTAGATGATGATGTTTTAGTTTTTTCAAACATTTTTTCCACTTATTGGTTCTTGACTCATTTTCTGTCGACTAGCTTGTCGAATTCCTATGAAAGTATGTATTGCATATTAATGATAAAATTTTTAATTATTAAATTTTATCGAAAAGTTGTCCTGGATTTTGCGTAACTTTGAATAAATTACAACAATGGATTTTGCGATCATCCCGAAATCACTGAAGGCAATTTGCAGCCCTCAGTGAGTTCGGGACCCATAGAAGTTAAGTCGCTACAAAGTTTTTTGTGTCAATAGAATAATTGAACAAAAAAATATTAAAATTTATTAGTCCTGTTACAGGAATAAAATGCGATAAAATTCCGTCTTTTTTTTAGGTTATTCATGCCAAAATCGGCAAAAAAAACTTGGGTCTTGTCTGCGATCCTATTTCTTATTTTTAGATCTTCCGAAAAATAAAACATCTTTTCAATTTCGAACACTGGGAATTTTATTAATCTGAACAAAGTGGTTGTCATCTATTTAGGCCACGCTGTTTTTTGTTCTCAGGAAAAGCTTGACAATTAAAACATGCTTTTATTTAAAACTTGGTTTTGAATTCTTAGGGTAATTTAAAGTTCGTACCCACTCAGTTTTTTATGCTCGCTTTTCAGAAATGTTTTTCAACGAACCAAATTTTAAAAGTTGAATCTTATTTTCGTTTTAAAAAGTAATTTAAAAATTAAATGTATAAAGTAAATTTTCGGTGATTTAGTTGTTATGGTTCGTTCTGTTTTTCAACAATAAATCGATCATTTTTAAGTTAACTTTCAATTTAATTACCAAATGGGAGGCAGGTTACCCTCTCCTATAGCAAAATAAGTGAAAGGGGGAAATCTAGCTTTATTTGGAAGTCTGAAATAGGATTGTAAAGATTCCACTGCTGAATAAATAGATTGATCAGTTTTCGTAACGAAGGTTAGTTACAAATAGTGTCAATTACAAAATAGGCAATTTCTGAAATTCAAAAGGCGATAAATGACAAAGCATCATTTTTTGGTATCCTTCCGTGTATCAACTTTCCAGTAGGGCTTTTTTACAGTTCTAGCATAATTACTATTAAAAAAGCTCAATAATCTGTGTCATTTTCATTAGAAATCAAGGATAACCCGATTGCCGTGAAAAAAAAACTACAAAAATTAGGTTTTTTTCTCAAAATTGTATCATTTAGTTGACAACAGTGGTCTCCAAACAAACTTATTCTATTTTTTTTCCAATAATTTATAAATTTCTTTTAGGCAATTTTTATTGACAGGAAAGCGCCAAATGTAGCTTCCAAAATTAGTTTTTGCTTAGTAAAACTATTCCTAGCCTAAATGATCATTTTTCCTATAAGAAACGAAATTGGATTCGAAATTTTTACGTTCGAAGTTTGAATTGCTCAAAACTTGACTCAAAATTCAAAAATTTCTAACCGGTTTTTCTCGACATGTGGATAACTTTTGGACTTTTTCGATGTCGTTCGAGTCACGACTGACGGTGCTGTAATATATAACACTCGATCCTTTCTGAGGTTTATTTGGGGTATCTGATTGTTTTGCGTTGAAATTAAAATGATTTTGAATAAAAAATTTGTTTTGCGGTTGATATAAAACAAAAATTTTAGTTGGGCAATTTCGAAATAACTTATGATATTTACTTATGATAAGTTATGAAATTACTTCGAAATAATTATATGATAGGCATTTTTTGCTGGCGACATCATATAATTTCCTAATATGTAAATTGTATGATAAGCGGTTTTTCCAAAAACCGTTCAAATGGTGTTGCTACCAAATTTTTTGAAGTTTATCAACACCGACTGCTTTTTCTGCCAATTTAAGGTTCTTTCTTAAAATTTTTATGATCAGAACTATTTATGGAAAAAAGTTTTGAAAATTTTTTCATAAATGGAAACTATATGATACGCATCTTGCCCATACACTTGGAATTGAATATTATGGATTTGAATAGGAATTGTATGGAGTTGAGTAGTAAGCACTTTTGGTGTATGGAGGCCGTCTCGGGTTTGTAAGGAACGATTTAAAACTTGTTCTATTTGAGAGCTGTATAATTGGGGAAAATCCATTTTGATGAACTTCACTCTCATTGTAGAAACCCTACTACACACAATTGGCTGTAAAATGTTGACGTTCCTTACGACTATCGAAGAAATTGCGGAATTTATATTTCTTTCTTACTCTCATTTTACATGAGCATTTTTTTTTATAGCGCAACGCTTTGTTTAACGAGGTAAAGTATGAAGATCAAATGAATATGAAATACTTAAATTAGTCAGCATGTCAATTTAATAACAATCATGCATCTCAGCCTTGTTGTTCCGACCATTGAACGTGGGGAGGAACTTTGCATTCGGGTGTTTTAGTTTTTTTTTTCAAACTAAAACACCCGAATGCAAAGTTCCGTTCCATTTCAATGGTCGGATCAAATAGAATGTGTGCGAACGATCACTTGTTTTTGGTCAGCAAAGTTTAGGAAAAACTGGCCAAGCAGATTTTTAGTCTATCAATGAACTAATTGTTATAATTATGTGATAGGATGACTTAAAATTAATGCAATGTATTTCGCAGTAATTCCGGCTATGAAAACTTAAGAGCATAACACGACTAGATTTCAATGTTTATAAGGTATTTAGTTAAGGAAGCCCACAAGGAAGCTGCTTAATAGTTTAAAGTTATGGGAATAAACAAAAAAAAAACTAAATTAAATTGCACGTCTCAAATTTTTGGGTGTTGGATCATGGTACATCCATTTCCCGAAATTAGTGAATTTGATTTGTATTAGTTGGCTAGCTATCAGTCATTTAAAAAATTAGTGAATGCTGGCTGCTAGTAATTAGAAAAGTTTGTGCAACTTATTGCCAGTAGTTTATTTGGCTTCAATTAGTTTTCGAGAACCCTCTGGGCATTAGAGTACTTAAAAAATGCCCAGAGGGCGCCCAATAATTATTTCCATATGCCAATTATTCCAAACAGGTGACGGTCGGAATAACAATGTTATTTGTCTGTTTTTTTTCGCATTTCAACGAACCTGGTTTATAATGATAGTTACGCCGTAACTAACAGATTAGAGCAGATACGAGATTTTTTGTTCAAAAGATACTTCCAATGAAGCATTGTTGTCTTCGCCCGTTTATAATTTTTGCGCAGCTGTAAAAAATTATCCGACTGATCAATTATGAAAGTTTTGAAGTGCTCAAAATTGCTGTATTTGGATGGTTATGGTTACCTAAAATGAATCTTTTGGCGTGACTTCTTTAAAACGAACTGGTTCAATGAGGAAATGTCAATTTTTAAAATGACAATAGAACAATTTAGATTTCACGGATTAACACAGTATTATTTAGACTATTTAAAGAGCACAGAACAGACAAATCCAAACTAAAAGATAGAAATAGTTGAGTCCTATGGCTCAAATAAATAAAGATTTATAAAAGTTTTCACTTTTGGCTACACCTTTTTAGACACTCTTGAGGGTTATCCCGCGCGTACTCCAATATTTGATCTCCTTCTCCGCTATTCTGGAAAGACTCACCATTCCAATGGAGTGCAACTTTTCCTTCTGATCGTTTTCGTTATGAATGAAGGCACAATTATTCCCGTGAACACAAGTTCCACTAGCCGCGAAGTTTTTGCACTTGACAGTTTTGTACTTGCTGTGAAGTTTAACAGGACGTAGTTCGTTGATGCCATGTGCGAATTGACATCCTTCTCCAAAAGTACAAGTACCTTTCTTGAAAGCTTTGCACATCTCGGTTTTGAATTTATCCGGGTTGCGAATGAACTGCAACTTGTCGTTGCTTACTGGCACGATCAGCGACTTCTCATTGATTGCCCAGGGAATGCTCTTGTCGGGCGAAAGGCAGAATGTACCTTTCAGTTTAGGTGAGTTACTCGTGCTTTTGGAAGTACTCGGTTTCCGATGCTGCTCCTCTTGATAAGCACGCGCCTTTTGTTTCTCCAAGATCGATTTGTCCCCGACAACGCGACATGGGCTTGGTAGTCGTGGAGCAATTAGTTCGTTCTCGGGAACATGGAAAACCTCGTCGTCTTCAGTTTGCCATTTCGAGTCGTTTCCGTCTAACTCGTCTTCTGAAAGGACACTGGAAAGGCTTTGAGCAAGGACACCGGTATGGAAGTACATATTCTGAAACAGAGAAGCAGGTATTTAATGCAGTTCAATTTACGAAATTATGAACCTTTGATTATGCTTAATAATTAATTGTATAGACAGATTGAGTAACTGGTACTGACCGAAAACTCGTCCGAAACTGCCTGGGATGTCAAGAATGTGCAGTAAGTGAGCTTCATGAGATTAGGCGTGATAGAAGTTCCAAAATGGCAACGGTTCAAATAGTTTAAAACCACGAAATTATTTGGACGAGATTTAAGCGTGGATGAAAATCTAAATTTAAGTTGCTCTTTTGGCAGACAATGTACAAATTAAAAACTGGCTTGCGCGAGAAAAACTATTCGAAATGGTGTGAAAATGAAAGTCGTCCATAAATAAGGTTTTTAAAAAACGCGTGCGTGCAATTAACACGCTTTGAAGGCAATGCACCGTTCAAATTAGCGCTGACACCTCAGATCTTTTGTTTCTGGGTTGCTTGTGCATCATTTTCACCCAATTTTTGTTCGAAAGATTAAAAGAGCGAACATTTGGAATTGAGACAAACCGCTTCAAATTGGATTATAGAGTTCCAGTTCAAGTAGATAAGAGGAAAAGGCTTTGTTTTAATCCCAATTAAGTATGCGATGACTTTTGTTTAATTGAAAAATTGGTAGTTGAAATGTTTAAAATAGCTTCATTGGGTCTGTACCGTCCAACAATTCAACGATTGATAATGTTAGAGATCGGATACTTGAGCTATGGGCTTATAGGTAGTAATTAACGCCCAAAATCTGTCTTTGAAGCTATTGAGTTCCAGACAAGCATCGTAAGATAATCTGTCGGGCAGAACACAGAAACTTCAAACAAAGACAGCTCATAGCTTCAGACAAAATTTTACGTTGGTAAAGTTGAATTATGGGGTATTTATGTTTTGTGGGGAATGGGGGGCATATCGATAGTAATGAAAAGTGATCTACCCAAGCTGGAAAAATTATTTCTAGTTTGTTTAAACTACTAACATTTTTTTAATTTTAGCTTTTTAATCTCAAATCTGGTCTATTTCAGTGCTTTTGAAATGTTGACATAGAGAGTCTAAACTGAACTAAGAGACTGATTAGGGTATGTCCGAAGCTCCTCTGCCTCGTCCTCGGAAGCGGTTCGATCTCGTGGGAGTCCGAGGAGGCACCTCGAAGTTCATCATCTATGGACTATCTGCAGTGGGAGTGTTCGCAATGTAAGCTTCATCATAAATAACTTCCGGAAAAGAAACGTTTTTCAATGTTCGACGTTTATTCACACATCCATATGCCTTTTTTACAATCAAGTTCTGATAAAATAATTATTTAGAAGTGCAACCAATAATCTCAATGGAAAGGTTGTTTTCGCAGTGATGAGGTGTCACTTTTACCCAAGTTGAAGTCAAATATTTAAGCATTGCTTTTCAGTCTTCGCTCCCAATGCAGATAACTTGAAGGAAATGATGGTTATCTAACAGATTATTTAGTACTGGAGCGTAGTCCTACGAGTTGGAATTTTAGAATTCGAGATCAATTGTTCGTAAATTATGTGTGGTTTTATTCAAGAGTTTAGTCGTAATTTTCAATGCTGGCTCATAATTTTCAAGTTCTATTTATGTTTTCAAGTATATGGAGTTTTTTGAAAACGATATATCTAGCTTTGCAATTGCTAAAGCGTTTCATGATTTTTGAACTTCCTTATGATAATGTCTTCATTACACTTGCAAAGCGAGTGTATTGGTACGAACCTTCTTTTTTCCACCTAAGTCGCAAATATTGGTGCCACTTTACAGCTTTTTCTTAGCGTAAGCTTTGACATTCGACTAGTAATAAGTTAACACTGTTGGTGCAATTTAAATTCATCAAATCAACCGAAAAAAAGTGATTTGTTTCAAAAAACATAACACTAACGAAAACGCGATTTCAGAAGTTTTCTAACGCAATGTATCTCGCAGTTTTTAAAATGCAGAATTTAGACATATGGCATAATGTGGCTTTATGCATTCAGATTAATTACCTGCAAAGATAGTGTGGATGCCCTCAGATTGTTATAATCCAAATTATTATTGCCTGCAAAATTGGGTAACGCGACAACGCGCAAAAAAAGACAACTCGCAAAATTTAAGGAAAGCAAGTTTTTGAATCTAATTAATTGAAAACTTTATATTCTCGGTTTGAGATAGCAGGTGGGAGCCCTACTCGCGCGCCGCCGCCTTGCCGCGATAACCGGATCAAAATTTTGTATAATGTCTTACCCTCTGTTGGCAAGCTCGCAACCCGTTGTCTTTTAATGCGAGTTGTCTTTTCTAGCGAATTGTCGAATTACGAAAAATGTGAGTCTATTTGTAATTGGTTCCACTTATGCTGAATCGCATTGCCAATTTATTAGCATATGTAGCTGCTTTATTCGTGACTAGTGTTCGTCGGTTGTTAAATTTGCATGGCTGAGTGGATAGTGCGTGAGACTCAAAATCTCTGGATTGCAGTAGCTCGCAGATTCGAGTCCTACTCGTAGCCGAGTTGTTGCTTATTCGAAGCTTACTTCTACTTCTTATTTCAATTGATAGAGCTGCTCTGATCGGGTTTCCGCAAGTGTTTGCGCTTATGAAGATGACGCCCTGAATATTTCGAATCCCATTCAACGTCTCTTTTTGTTTTTCAGGTTAAAAGAAAATGATGAAATTTTTTAAATAAACAATTGGAAAAATCTATTTTTTTTCAGAAAATTTTGGAAAAACAGTCTACAATTTATTTGAAATACAAAGTGATATTTTTAACAAATATTAACTTATAAGTCAGAATGGATAGCATGCCTCAATTCATTTTGGAACAATTTCCAAGGAGGATTAAATCGCCGCTTTCAGTTTATTAGCACGAAAAATGTCCCGCGTTAATTGTCGCAAATTGGCAATCTTTAAACCCCCATAACTTAGGAAAAATAGTCACAGGTGAAAGATGTTTTTAAATTTGAGCTCAGGACAGCCTTATCTTTCAGGTAATTTAAAAAAATGAAAAAAAAACATCTGCTAGCTAAATTTTTGAAATTGGTCAGGAGAAAAAAAAACGATACGAGCAGAAATATTCAGGCATTGTCTTCGAAAAAAGTCTAAACAAGCCTTTATGGATGTGTCTCAAAGTTATTTTGAGGCGGTAAACGATTTTTTGAACTACCTTTTTGTCTCATAAATGTGTCTTATTGTGCCGCCTTTGCGTGGTAGACCCGACGCGCGACATTAGTTGCCGCAAATGACACCGAAACCCCTCCCGTCTTTGGGAGCCTAAGAAGCATGCTCAAAACGTGTTTTTGGTGGCGGGGCGTCCAACGTCGGCTGTTCTCTCCGTCTTTCAATACTTGTACTCATTTTACGTGGCGGCTTTAACCCGAAACCAGGCCCGTATATCTGCCCTCCTTGTAACACAAATATCTCCTGCATTCCAGCAAGTGTTAGATGTTACATAGGCGGTTGGATCTACCTAAAGTGCCGTGGACTCGCAAACCTCAAACAACACCCCAAGATATAGTTACTGTCCTTTTTATACGAACAAAAATATCCTGCCAGCGATACGCCTAAAAGGCCCAAAACACCCCAAGACTACTAAGTTCTCCACCCGAGTAGCGAATCCCCCGAACGATCCAAACACAAGCTGTCAAAACCATACAGCGCATTCTACTTTTTGTACCATTCGCCCGCCCTTACCATATTCCTTCGGTAACACATCCAAGTCTACATAGAGTCTGAATTTTTTCCGTATGAACTGTCCTGGAATATCAAAGAAAGCACCCGAAGTTGCAGCAACTTTGTGTGGATACGAAATATACATCGCGGTTTTTCAGGAGACCACACTTTCCAAAAAATCCGTAGTCCCTCGTTTGGCTCAAATTATACTTTTTTCAGAAAGGACCGTCCTCGAGAGGGATATGGAGTACTTATGGCCTTACACAACTACCTTCTCTACGAAGAATTGCAAAGAGTGGAAAATGGTGTTTTAGAGGCGCAGTGTTTTGAAAAAATAGCCGACAGCCAAAGCCTCCGCTTCACAAATTTTCACATTCCCCCGAGTAGTTGCTGCCCATAAGGCTTCTTCTACTCAGCCGCTCGCGGAAGACAGTGCTATTGAGATGAGAGAAGCAAATGCCCAATCCCATCTCCCCTATTCAACTATAGCGAATAAGAGAGGCGTCTCTTTATTTCCAGATATAACTGACTCTGGCTTCACCTCTTTAAGCGTTAAACTCAAATTTGTTTACCGTTTAGCAACTCAAGCTCTTCATCTTTTTACTATCTTTAAGGTGGAAAGACTAAAAAAACTAGCACAAGAGTTTTTTAAAATCAGACTAGAGAACCCCTTAAACCCTATGTTAAAAACCCAAACCAATATTTGATGAAAAAAAGGCAAAAAAAAAGAAGAATGGAGAGGAATTCTCCCGGTCGTTGCTTTTCACACTCAAAAAACGAAGCTCCGAAACCGTAAATACAAGGAATAACAAGGAAATATCAAAGTGATCCCGTGAGAAACAGAAAAGGCTTTCAAAGCAGCGAAACGATCAAAAGCAATGTGCCCAGACGTGCTTTGCACGGTATACTTCAAACATCTGGCACCATTTGCCATCAATTTTTTTAAACTTCAAACTTGTCCTTTAATTGTTACGTAGATGATGCACCCAACTCCCCCTCCAGAAGTCAAACTTCAGTCTTATGCCGATAATTTTCCTCCCTTCGTCCAATCACGCGAAATAAAACTTGACTATGTTATTTTAAGTAATTATTCAAACAAATTGCACTACTTTTTTCTACTAGATTGCTAGAATTTTCCTCTACAAAGGGTTATGCAAGTCTTTTGACGTCACGTTTTTAAGAGTTTATGAGTTCTAGTTATTCTGACCCCAAGGTTACAATGAGTGAAACTCTATTGCCGCTCATAAAACTTCCCAAACTGGTTCGTCTCCTTTTCGACTTTTTCATACTTTTTGCCGAATACTGCAAACGCATAGCAAGCAAAGCCATAGAAATTTGAAGTGTATTAGGTTTTTAGAATACGCGAAGCGATGTATACTATTAAAGCCGTTTAGGTCGTTTTTGTAAAAAAAAATTACTTAGTGTCGAGAAAAATTGGTTTAATTTTTCGCTTTTAGTCTAATTTTGAGCGCTTGGAGCTAGTGAGTAATTTGAATTAGACAAGAATTGGTTATTTGAGCTACGAAAATTCAAGTTTTTATCCAGGACAGCACGTTTTTCAAGCTGCGATTAGCGCTTTATTGTCAATAAAAACTGCAATTTTTCTTTCAAATTTAAACTTTCGGCAGTTGTTTTTTTGTCGGAGTCTTTTTTTCATTCGATTTATTTTTTTGTTACTTTTCATTTTTGAAGACAACTGTAGTTGATTATCTTTTTTCTACTAAAATTTATCAGCGTTAGTTTTGCCTATGGTCACGCCCCTCACAACAAGAGGAGCAAATTTGATTTAAAAGTTTTGTCCTTTTTATATGAACAAAAATATCCTGCCAGCGATACGCCTAAAAGGCCCAAAACACCCCAAGACTACTAAGTTCTCCACCCGAGTAGCGAATCCCCCGAACGATCCAAACACAAGCTGTCAAAACCATACAGCGCATTCTACTTTTTGTACCATTCGCCCGCCCTTACCATATTCCTTCGGTAACACATCCAAGTCTACATAGAGTCTGAATTTTTTCCGTATGAACTGTCCTGGAATATCAAAGAAAGCACCCGAAGTTGCAGCAACTTTGTGTGGATACGAAATATACATCGCGGTTTTTCAGGAGACCACACTTTCCAAAAAATCCGTAGTCCCTCGTTTGGCTCAAATTATACTTTTTTCAGAAAGGACCGTCCTCGAGAGGGATATGGAGTACTTATGGCCTTACACAACTACCTTCTCTACGAAGAATTGCAAAGAGTGGAAAATGGTGTTTTAGAGGCGCAGTGTTTTGAAAAAATAGCCGACAGCCAAAGCCTCCGCTTCACAAATTTTCACATTCCCCCGAGTAGTTGCTGCCCATAAGGCTTCTTCTACTCAGCCGCTCGCGGAAGACAGTGCTATTGAGATGAGAGAAGCAAATGCCCAATCCCATCTCCCCTATTCAACTATAGCGAATAAGAGAGGCGTCTCTTTATTTCCAGATATAACTGACTCTGGCTTCACCTCTTTAAGCGTTAAACTCAAATTTGTTTACCGTTTAGCAACTCAAGCTCTTCATCTTTTTACTATCTTTAAGGTGGAAAGACTAAAAAAACTAGCACAAGAGTTTTTTAAAATCAGACTAGAGAACCCCTTAAACCCTATGTTAAAAACCCAAACCAATATTTGATGAAAAAAAGGCAAAAAAAAAGAAGAATGGAGAGGAATTCTCCCGGTCGTTGCTTTTCACACTCAAAAAACGAAGCTCCGAAACCGTAAATACAAGGAATAACAAGGAAATATCAAAGTGATCCCGTGAGAAACAGAAAAGGCTTTCAAAGCAGCTAAACGATCAAAAGCAATGTGCCCAGACGTGCTTTGCACGGTATACTTCAAACATCTGGCACCATTTGCTATCAATTTTTTTAAACTTCAAACTTGTCCTTTAATTGTTACGTAGATGATGCACCCAACTCCCCCTCCAGAAGTCAAACTTCAGTCTTATGCCGATAATTTTCCTCCCTTCGTCCAATCACGCGAAATAAAACTTGACTATGTTATTTTAAGTAATTATTCAAACACATTGCACTACTTTTTTCTACTAGATTGCTAGAATTTTCCTCTACAAAGGGTTATGCAAGTCTTTTTACGTCACGTTTTTAAGAGTTTATGAGTTCTAGTTATTCTGACCCCAAGGTTACAATGAGTGAAACTCTATTGCCGCTCATAAAACTTCCCAAACTGTTTCGTCTCCTTTTCGACTTTTTCGTACTTTTTGCCGAATACTGCAAACGCATAGCAAGCAAAGCCATAGAAATTTGAAGTGTATTAGGTTTTTAGAATACGCGAAGCGATGTATACTATTAAAGCCGTTTAGGTCGTTTTTGTAAAAAAAAATTACTTAGTGTCGAGAAAAATTGGTTTAATTTTTCGCTTTTAGTCTAATTTTGAGCGCTTGGAGCTAGTGAGTAATTTGAATTAGACAAGAATTGGTTATTTGAGCTACGAAAATTCAAGTTTTTATCCAGGACAGCACGTTTTTCAAGCTGCGATTAGCGCTTTATTGTCAATAAAAACTGCAATTTTTCTTTCAAATTCAAACTTTCGGCAGTTGTTTTTTTGTCGGAGTCTTTTTTTCATTCGATTTATTTTTTTGTTACTTTTCTTTTTTGAAGACAACTGTAGTTGATTATCTTTTTTCTACTAAAATTTATCAGCGTTAGTTTTGCCTATGATCACGCCCCTCACAACAAGAGGAGCAAATTTGATTTAAAAGTTTTTCCTTGTAACTCGAGCTTTCTGTTCTACTTGCACAGCAATCGTGTACTCGTGTTTTGCGCTTGTTTAGCAGTTAACAAACTAGTATTCGGTTTTGACCCAAAGCAACCAAATAATTACGCAATCAAATGTTGGACGCAATCAAATGTATTTTTTGTTCCGACTATCGATACGAAAGTAACGGAATATTTGTGCTCGGGGTGGGTTTTTTTTCTTCAGACAAATTTTTAACAAGCCAATTTTGATGGCATTTTTTTATATCATTCAAAAGGTATTGTTGTCTTGAGCTCAAATTTGAAAAGATATTTCACCTGTGATCATTTTTCGTAAAGTTATGGGAATTTAAAGATTGCCATTTTGGCCAATTTGGGACAATTAACGCGCGATATATTTCGCGCTATTAACGCGTAAGCGGAGAGTTAATCCGTCTTAAAATCGTTCCAAATTGGTTGAAAGAAGCTTATTTGCCATAATTGATTTGTTACAAGGAGCTAAATCTATCTTTTTGTACTTTAAATGGCGTGTGGGGGGGATGATTTTCATAAAAAAATTCAAAATTTTTTTTTAGTTTTATTACATTTAACTTTTTGAATGTTATTACTGCTCCATAAAACCTTAAAAGGCAGTCGGAACATTCAGGGTTTCGCCCTGATACGAGCAGTCTTGTTTTATTTTAAAATTGTTGGATTTCTCAGTGCTGACGCGCCCCTCATCGGCACGCAGGCGTCATGTTGGCTTATAAGTGTTCTGATAAGTTCCGGCTGAATAGTTTTATAAGTTGATGTTTTTTGTTTTTAGGAGGTCCGACGTTTGATTACCTTCTAAGTTCACTTCAAATTTGTTTGCTAAATCGAATTCAAACTACGCTCTCCAATAACACAAGTGACACCGGATGGAAAAAAGAAGCCTGACTTTTAATTTGAATAATCGAATTCAATTAATATAATTCATAATTTACTGAAAAATGGTCAAATAGAAAATATTCTTGAATTTAAAGAGCTTTAAGGGTACACCGAACATGAAAAATTGTGTAATAGTGCCAAAAATTTAAGGGTTTTTAATGATACTGAGTCAAATTTTGCCTTTGTTTTTTGTTACAATAATCGAATTCAGGGACTTTACTTCGAGTTTATGTCTGTTTATTTTCACGCAAATGCTGGTTTTGTTTTATTACTTGAGAATAAGTTTTTGTTTCTTTTCAATTTTTTTCTTTCGGGAAAAAAACTTCCAAAAAAAAGCTTTGCCGAGAAATTTCAGTTGATGAGGGTTAGTTACCTTCTCGGAACGGTCTTAGCATAGAAGTTGGATTTTTTGCTGTTAAGTAAAGATTTTTTGTTCCTTTTAAACAGGTCACAGGTTTTTAAAGCTATTCAATAGAAATGATGCTATAGAAACTCAAAATACAATGTTTTTGTAATATTTCATTTTCGGATAACTGTAACTGCCCCATAGATTATTTTTGAGTCTTTTATTTAGTTATAAGTTCATGAGTTATAAGTTCATTTTAAGTGGTTCGAAATCCAATAAAGCAGTTTTTGACTGCAAAAAAGATTGGTAAATCCATGGATTTGGATTTGAAAATTGTTTGATTCATGCAAAAGTTAATTTTAGTTAAATGAAGTGTAAATAAAGAAAAACGTTTATAGGTTAATATAATCACCATAGGGAAGCTTAGGTAAATAATATTTCAATCTATAGATTAAAATCCTTTGTTTTAGGGGCAATTTATTTCAGCCATTTGTGAGTGAAAAGTGCAGAAAGAAATGGCATCGAATGTACCCCACGTCCTTGGCCAACTTCTACAAGTTCAACGAATACCTCATCGAGAACAAAATCCTCCGCATCAACCTCAAAGACAGAGACTTCGTAAGCTGGAATGTCAGTCAGAAGGAGAGAGATTGGTACAATAACTTCCTAAAACTATAAAATAAAACGATAAATACACAGCTAACTGCAATTTAATATACATGAGTTTTGTTTTTCGATGGCCTTTTAAACTGATTTTGTTACAACTCGTTTTTATTTTAGAAAACCTAGCAAATTGCAAACGCCTTGTGACTGATTTTTTTTTGTTTCGATAAATAACTCCATAAAGCTGTGGCTTAGCGTGTACTATTTCCTCGCTACTTTGAGTACCCCAAAAGTATTTCGTGGTTAGTCGGTTCCGCTTGAAATATGTTGTAAAAATCAAACGAAAACGACAATTAGATTATTTTTGTTTGCTGTTCCTACGATGTAGTGAGAAAACTTTGAACTCAACGATTTTCCGATTCAAAAGCTGTCACCACTAGCAATCGTTTCATGTTTTTTTGTCTATTGGTTGATTGAAGGCTTTTTCAGTCGTAACTCGAACTGTATCGAACCTTTTCAAAGATAAGTAAATATCACCATGACGAGGCCAAACTGTGCACTGCATAGGCGCACAGTTTCTTGTCTGTATGTTCCTGCATTCCAGAGACAAGTCTTTGAACATGTTAAAATTTTTCGGAACGATTAAAGAAAATGAAAGACCAAAAGAAGAACAAAGGGCGTCATTATTGCGGAATCGGCTTACAATTCACAAAATGCACAGTTTGGCCTCGTAATGACCAGTCACTCAGTCACCACTAAATTCAGTTTCAGTCTAAGTGAATCAGTGCTGGGTTATTTCAGTTTTTAAGAAGTATTTTTTGAATTGCAAGTGCAATTCTTCCCCTTGCAAAGGAGCCAGCCTATTTGACTGAAGCTTGACTTTTTGACTGATTTCTTTTTGAACTTAATTCATTTTTTTGAAAGGAAAACAAACTTCACTATCGAACAGCAAGTGTAAAAAGTCACGAAAAACTTGATCGACTGTTAGTTTCAAATTTTCTGAATTCCTAGCGGAATAGAAACTTACATATTGATCCACTTCTCTCTGAATCGAGTATGCTTAAGAATAAAAAACTCATTCTTAAGCTTTTCTCGAAATTCAAAGATCTCTAACGTGATATATTTGTTTCCTCTGAATTCCGAAAGTTGGAAAACTTTCAAAAACAACCAATCTATTTTTTTTGGTTTCCGCGAGTTGTATTACTTTTAACAACCATCTATTAGCTATTTTTCTTTTATATTTAGCTTTTTGCCCTTTATATCTCCGAGTAGATGCCTTTGTCAAACATATCCGCTATTTTAACGCGCGTTATTTGTTGCCTGGTATCTACGAATAAAGTATGCATGAAAGTTAAAAAAATATGAAAGCATAATACCTAAGTGAGCGGTAGGCAGTACCACGGTGCCGAAGTACAACAGTGACGAAAAAAACTAGTTCAACAGGGCCAAAATTGAAAAAAAAAAGTTAAACAGCGCCGGATACTTTTTTGTTCAACAGTGCCGAAGAGTGAAAAAACACTTAAGAAAGCTAGTTTTCGGCAGCTGAAATTTAGTCTCATTGACGCCAAAGTCGCTTGTAGAAAAATTTAGGGGCAGTCAGCCATAAATGGATCAGGTTTTGTTCACAAAGACCGCCCCCTATGCATGTATTATTTTTGAAAAATATTTCATAAAATATGAATTTCAAAAATGTTAATGATTTGGGTTTTGAAATTGCGTGTTCGTGTTGATTTAACTTATTACATATAATGTACATTCATTAAAAATTATATCAATGGATATCAATGGATAACTCAAAATAGTTTAAAATGGGACTGGTCACAATTTTTGTGATAAGCAGGGAGCGGAAAAAAGTAAATAATTTATTTATTTCTTACTTTTTCAGCGATATTGAACCGAAAAAAGAAAGTTAGTAAACTACATATTTGTCTTAAGGCGGAGAATACTTGAAACGTCGTGTTTCTGAAGAATGCAATTTCTGATCAAAGAAATCTCCATTCACATTCATATGCATTACTGTATAGGCTTTGCGTTTCTCAGAAAAAAACACTTTTTTGTTTACTTTTTCAGCGATATTGAACTGAAAAAAGTAAGTTAGGAAACTACATATTTGTCTTAAGGCGGAGAATATTTGAAACGTCGTGTTTCTGAAGAATGCAATTTCTAATCAAAGAAATCTCCATTCACATTCATATGCATTACTGTATAGGCTTTGCGTTTCTCAGAAATAACACTTTTTTGTTTACTTTTTCAGCGATATTGAACTGAAAAAAGTAAGTTAGGAAACTACATATTTGTCTTAAGGCGGAGAATATTTGAAACGTCGTGTTTCTGAAGAATGCAATTTCTAATCAAAGAAATCTCCATTCACATTCATATGCATTACTGTATAGGCTTTGCGTTTCTCAGAAATAACACTTTTTTGTTTACTTTTTCAGCGATATTGAACTGAAAAAAGTAAGTTAGGAAACTACATATTTGTCTTAAGGCGGAGAAAATTTGAAACGTCGTGTTTCTGAAGAATGCAATTTCTAATCAAAGAAATCTCCATTCACATTCATATGCATTATTGTATAGGCTTTGCGTTTCTCAGAAATAACAATAAGCCTATTTTGAACAGCTCTACCATATGCATTTCTGAGATATAAAAGCAGGGTGCCGGACATAAAGCCGACGGGACTTGAAGCCGAATTGTAAAATTAGGGACTTGGATCCGAAATTTTTTTTCATTAAGTCATGAAATATGATTAATTTGATTAATCTTTCTCGAGTTATTATTGGCGTTTTCAAAAAATTTAAGCCTCCGAATGATGTTAAGGAAAGTTGAAAAATAAAACATGACTGAAGGCGATTTTCTTGTTTATAAGCTATGCATTTCAAAAACCGGCTGATATTATTAACGGATGCCAATCCCAAGTGACTCATTGTCATGAATAAAGCTTATTATGGACTAATTTTGCCTACAATTTTGAAAAGCAACGTTTTACAGATAAAAAAGTAGTGGCTTGAGGTGCTTGTAAAGTTTATATTTCGGCCTGAAGTCCCTTCGGCTTGAAGTCCGTCGGCTTGTTGTCCTAGACCCATAAAAGCACACTCAGTGTTTTTTAAATAGCTCTACTATGATACGCATTTCTGATAAACATTTTTCTGACCATTTTTGGATAATAAACGCGCAATTTTTTGCGTTCTTATAACACGCGTAAGCGGCAAAATATTGCATTCCGAAATGAATTGCAGCCATCCATTCAGTCCTAGTGATACAATACGAGACGCTAAGACGCTAAACAAGCTCTTAGCTATTTAAATTTAAAAAAGTGAGTAATTGTGGTCTTATGCTTTGCCGTCTAGTTTATCATCCTTCAATTTGATAAATTGAGTTACTTCCTACCAATACTTAGCACATTTTCAACTTATCAAAAACTTTGATCCAAATTTTTTTTATTTTTGTCACGTACTCACAATGGTGAACTTTTCTAAAATATTTTTCGTTTTGTGTTTTGGGGTTTGTTTCTTTTTTGGATGGCAATTATTTTTCCGGTTTCCATATTAACGTTTTCAAGAAGCATAATAGCATGCCAAAATAAATTAACAGGATCTAAATTATATGAGAATGGAATAAAAATTTCATTTAAATGAAACGCTCTATGCATATCAATTTATGCAAAATCAGTATACACCAACTGAGTTTTTCAAACTATTTTGCTCAGATAACTTTGCATTTTGTGAAAAAAAGAAACAATCTTTTGATCTTTTGTAACACCAAGATACAACGCTAATTCTTCCAACTTTCAAAGAAAACGGAATATTTATGCTCTGTGCGGTTTGTGGGCGGGGTGGGGCAGTAGGTGGCGGGGGTAGAGGGAAAATGCTAGTTTTTTACCAAGGCGACGGTAAAAAGTAACAGTTACATAAAATGTTAAACTGCCAAATTGAAAAAGTCGAGAAGTTTGTATGTATATATATAAAAGTAGAGAAATTTGTATGAATATGTACAAAATCTTGTGTGAGAAACTTAGTTTATGAAACGTAACTCGTAGAAGGTGCACTAAATAAGAAGTGAGCAAAAGTCACAAATAGCCTCTCAAAAATCAATAATAATCGATTTTAATCGAAAAAAGGACTTTATTTATATTTATATTACTTTCATTGTAATCATTTTTAATGGACTATCATTACGAGGCCAAACTGTGCACTGGATAGGAGCACAATTTTGTGTCTGTTTGTTCCTGGATTCCAGAGACAAGTCTTAAAATATGTTCCAAAATGTAAGTGGATTCCACAAACAAAATTTCAGTGGATTCCGCATACATAAATCATTAACGTAAATTTTGTCGGCACATTTCTTTTGTTGCGGATTCGATAACGAGCAGATATAGCTAGTTGTTCTGGATTCCGCAACTGCAAGTGGATTCCGCAAAATGTAAGCGCAATCCGCAAATGTAAGAGGATTCTGCAAACTTTAAGTGGATTCCAAATTTTGTTCAATACTGAAATTGCATATGAACAAATAAAAGCTGAGCTGGAATTCGTATCTCTAGCAATGCGGAATTTAAAAACAAAGACTTAACCATAGTCAGCGGAATCCACGAACAAGTCTTAATACACTGGTTACGTAAATCGGTGGATGTCATCTTTTAGTATTTTGGAAACACAACACCGAACAATTTCAATAATTGGAGTCATTGAGTTGAGAGTGTATGGAACACATAGCGTATCGACAATTTAGGTCAGTATTTGGGATTGCGTCAATCCCAAATACCAATTTTGGAAGCATAACGCCGAAAAAATGCAGTAATAGTAGTCATTGGGATGAGAATGTATAGAAACACAACACACAGCATATCGACAAATTAGCTCAGTATTTGGGATTCCATCGATCCCAAATACTGGTCAGTATTTGGGACTGATGAAATGCCAAAAACTGGAATAATGTGGAATAAATATGGAATATATCCATTAATTGGAGTCATTAGGTTGATAGTGATTAGAAACCCATCGCATAGGAAATCGTCAAATTAGTTCAGTATTGGGATTCCATCGATCCCAAATACTGGTCAGTATTTGGTATTGATTGAATCCAAAAAACTGGAATAATGAGGAATAAATATGGAACATATCCATTATTTGGAGTCAATACGTTGAGACTGATTATAAAC